GCTTTGGCTGTAATCACTGCCAAAGGTGTTGGAACATAAATCTTCACCCCAGTCTAAGGTCATTTGTACTCTCAAGCAGGTTCTCATCAAAGATTTGCCTATATTTGGCTCCATTCATTGTTCCCTCGATCCTTACCAGTCTCCCAGTCCCTGCCGCTGAAAAGAATCCCCCAAAGCATGATGCTGCCAACACCATGCTTCACAGTTGGGATAGTGATGAGCTGTGCCCGTTTTTCTCCGGACATGGCGCTTTGCATTCGGACCAAATAGTTACATTTTTGTGTCATCAGATCACATAATATTTTTGCCTTATGCTCTCAGAGTCTTTCACATGCCTTTTTGCAAACTCCAGGCGTACTGTCATGTGCCTTTTTCTCTGGAGTGTCTTCCGTCTAGCCACTCTCCCATAAAGCCCAGATTGGTGGAGCTGTAGAGACTGCTGTCCTTCTGGCAGGTTCTTCCATCTCAGCCAAGGAACTCTGTAGTTCTGTCAGAGTGGTCATTGGGTTCTTGGTCACCTCCTTGACCAAGGTCCTTCTTGCCTGGTTGCTCAGTTTGGTTGGACGGCCAGCTCTAGTGGTGGTTCCATATTTTTTAATTTTCCCAATTATGGAGACCACTGCTCTTGGAAACTCTAGAAATAGTTTTATAGCCTTCCCCATATATATGCCTCAGCACAATTCTATCTCAGAGATCTACGGACAGTTCCTTGGACTTCATGGTATAGTTTATGCTCTGACATGCACTGTCAACTCCAATCAAGTTGTAGTGACATCTCAATGATGATCAACGGAAGTTGGATGCACTTGAACTCAATTTGGAGTGTCATACCAAGGGGTGTGAATATTAAAAACATGTTTTCACTTTGTCATTATGGGGTATTGTTTGTAGATGGATGAGAAAAAATATATATTTAACCCATTTTGAATTCAGGATGTAACAACAAAATGTGGAATAAGTCAAGAGGATTGAATACTTTCTGAAGGCACTGTAACGTCAGTTCTCTACCCTAGAACTTTATTTGTGATAACTAATATGCAAAATATTCTAATTTCAAAGCTGATTGTCAACATAAATGTTGTTAATTCACTAGTATGGGTTAGCTAAATGACTTGTCTTTTCCTTGCTGAGCCGAACTGCCTGGCTACAAGCTGGTAGAGCACGGCGCTTGTAACGCCAAGGTAGTGGGTTCGATCCCCGGGACCACCCATACACAAAAAAAAAAATGTATGCACGCATGACTGTAAGTCGCTTTGGATAAAAGCGTCTGCTAAATGGCATATTATTATTATATTATTACATGACTTGTGAGTGGTGTCTTTTCTCTAGAAGACCATAGGCTACTTCTATGAAAGTAGTTGATCAGTAGGCTAACTTGCCTAACGACTCACCCTGAATTTAATTCCGCTGGTCTAGTGATCGCTACATACAGTCAGTCAGAAACTGCCATCCTAGAAGTCATTTGTGCGACTTCAAAATGAGGGGCGTTGTACAAAACAAATTCATCAGCGATTGGATCATCTAACAAATTTAACTAGAGTATCAAAGTTGATAACGTCATCATGTAGGCTGGCTCTGGCCCAACCCATCGGTTTCTGGGACCAATCAGAACGGTCTGAATGTGTTCGCATTCTAGATATCGCCGGGGAGGGAGGCAAATCCAGACCCATTGTGGAAAAGAAACATCAGTTGGCCAGAGAGATTTGGATAGGTAGCCAGACAAAGGCCTAACATGGTCACAAATAAAAGGGAAACAGATTATTTGTCACCTGTAGCCCCATAGACCACTGAAATCAGCCAACATTAGCTCAATAACTCAAGGCATGCACACAGTCCTATTGAATATGAATTCACCTGTATTGTGAGTAGGCCTACGCCATCTTGATTTACCCAGTTTACCATTCAAATAAGTTATTACCATTATGTTGTTAAAAACTAAGTCAAATCTATTGTATGGTTGTATAAATGATTTGTTAATGCATACATGGTTGTCTCTGGGAAAATGTATCATCAAAATGTTCAAATGTAATAAAAAATATATTATAATAATAAACCATCTTGACTCCCAAAAATCGGTATCAGCATCGGCCCTAAAAAACATATCGGTCGTTCTCTAGTTACGAGTGGAGTTTGTGCACTCACACCGCCTAGCAACCAGGCACTAAGCATTTCACCATATGAGTATTACATTTTACATTTTAGTCATTTAGCAGACGCTCTTATCCAGAGCGACTTACAGTTAGTGAGTGCATACATTTTTCATACTGGCCCCCTGTGGGAAACGAACCCACAACCCTGGCGTTGCAAGCGCCATGCTCTACCAACTGAGCTACACATGGCATTACATGTTATTACAGCCATATTTGTCAATCTCTTAACAGTACTTTATTAGATTTATTTCACATGCCGCTTAAGACACCTAATCACCAGAATAACTGTTTGATATCATTGTAGCCGCTAATGAGCCTTCTCTTAATCGAGATTGATTTAATTTACATGACATTTACCTCTCCATTCAATCACTGGCATTGTAGCTGCCGCCGTTCCTATTTAACTAATACTGGGATCATTATTCTCCTGATTGACTGCAGGATTTAACACGCGTCACTTAGGTCCCAGGCAGTCTGGAGGCCTCTTATTGTCCACATATACTCCCCACTATGTGAACAAAGCTCATCGATCAAGCAGAACAACATTATGCATGCGACCCAATTGTAAGGGCCGAGACCCTGCGTCCATCACCGCGCCAGCACTCCCTGGCCCACAGTCCCAGCCCTATCGATTTCCCATTACAGTGTCACTGTGCAGCCCTCTTTAAGCATGCCTCGAGTCAGACCCGTCGCCAGACCTCAGTCTTAAGGGGGGCATATGAAATGCATGGGAGGGCAGGGCACAATTGTTATTAGCCTACAGTACATATATTTAATAATAAATTCCCTCAAGTGGGGGGGCACAAGCATTTTTGGGGGCGGGCCCGGCCCCCTATGGCCCGCCCATAGCGACGGGTGTGCCTCGAGTGATGTACTGCCTCTTACCGCACAGTATCCAAAAACACAAGTCACATTCACAACAGGTAAACAAGAGTGTGGCAGCAATGCCATCTAGTGGCAAACGACCAAACTGTACTTAATCCGGTATTTAGCAGAGACAGGGGAGGTTCGCTCAATCACCGCTAACTACTCCTATTAGGAAATATGATACAAAAAAAGATATACTCCGCTCTGAGCAGCTACTAAAACATGCTCATAATGCTAGCCTTGATCTGAGTATGTGAAAAACAGTGTTTACATAGTTCAGCTGACGGTGGTTTAAACAAATACATGTACATGCATGAATGGGGTTCAAGTTTCACAGTCTATTAGGGTTACAAATGTGTGCTCAGGTGTATGAAGCTACAGTACCAGTCAAAAATTTGGACACACCTACTCATTCAAGGGTTTTTCTTTATTTTTACTATTTTCTACATTGTATAATAATATTGAAGACATCAAAACTATAAAATAACACATATGGAATCATGTAGTAACCACAAAAGTGTTAAATAAATCAAAATGCATTTTATATTTGAGATTCTTCAAAGTAGCCACCCTTTGCCTTGATGACAGCTTTGCACAGTCTTGGCATTATCAACCAGCTTCACCTGGAATGCTTTTCCAACAGTCTTGAAGGAGTTCCCACATAGACTCATCCCAAACCATCTCAATTGGGTTGAGGTCGGGGGATTGTGGAGGCCAGGTCATCTGATGCAGCACTCCATCACTCTCCTTCTTGGTCAAATAGCCCTTACACAACCTGGAGGTGTGTTGGGTCATTGTCCTGTTGAAAAACAAATGATTGTCCCACTTACCCCAAACCAGATGGGATGGCGTATCGCTGCAGAATGCTGTGGTAGCCATGCTGGTTAAGTGTGCCTTGAATTCTAAATAAATCACAGAGAGTGTCACCAGCAAAGCACCCCAAAACCATAACACCTCCTCCTCCATGCTTTACAGTGGGAAACACACATGCGTAGATCTTCCGTTCACCCACACCGTGTCTCACAAAGACACGGCGGTTGGAACCATAAATCTAAAATTTGGACTCCAGACCAAAGGACAAATTTCCACCAGTCTAATGTCCATTCTCGTGTTTCTTGGCCCAAGCAGGTCTCTTCTTCTTATTGGTGTCCTTTAGTAGTGGTTCCTTTGCAGCAATTCGACCATGAAGGCCTGATTCACACAGTCCCCTCTGAACAGTTGATGTTGAGATGTGTCTGTGACTTGAACTCTGTGAAGCATTTATTTGGGCTGCAATTTATAAGGCTGGTAAGTCTAATTAACTTATCCTCTGCAGCAGAGGTAACTCTGGGTCTTCCTTTCCTGTGGCGGTCCTCATGAGAGCCAGTTACATCATAGTGCTTGATGGTTTTTGCGACTGCACTTGAATTAATGTTCAATGTTCTTGACATTTTCCGTATTGACTGACCTTCATGTCTTAAAGTAATGATGGACTGTCGTTTCTCTTTTATTATTTGAGCTGTTCTTGCAATAATATGGACTTGGTCTTTTACCAAATAGGGCTATCTTCTATATACCTCCCCTACCTGTCACAACACAACTGATTGGCTCAAACACATTAAGAAGGACAGAAATTCCACAAATTAACACAGCTGTTAATTGAAATGCATTCCAGGTGACTAACTCATAAATCTGGTTGAGAGAATGCCAAGAGTGTGCAAAGCTGTCATCAAGGCAAAGGGTGGCTATTTGAAGAATCTCAAATATAAAATATATTTAGATTTGTTTAACACTTTTTTTGGTTACTACATGGTTCCATATGTGTTATTTCATAGTTTTGATGTCTAAACTATTAGTCTACAATGTAAAAAATAGTAATAATAAAGAAAAACCCTTGAATGAGTAGGTGTGTCAAATTGTTTTACTGGTAGTGTATTTATCAGGCCCTCTCTTGTCCCAGCCACACACCATGTTTCCCATGCTGAGGCCCATGCCTTTGTACTGGTACATCATGTTAGCCAGAAGCTTGGAGGCGGGTGCCACAGAGATGCGCTCCTTGTTGCGGAGCTCGTAGACGCAACACTGGCGGGCCAGCAAGCGCTCACAGAAGCTGCAGTCAGCTGCAACCTCCAGCCATGGTGCCCATCAAGAAGGGGTTGATCTCTATCACCTTCTTCACTGTCTGGGAGGCGATGTAGGCGCCAGCTGTGGCCCGAGAGTCCACTGCACTTGACTTGAGATTGGTGGCCTTACTAGCTGACGGTTTGTTTCTACTAGAGTGAGAGTTTTATCCACTTTTTGAAGGTCACAAATTCTCATTAACAAAATGCAGGCCAGTATGTAATGTATACTTAGGTAACGTTTGCCCTGGACAGGACCATGTAGCTAGTGGCTACATAATTCTAACGTGATATGTGAATGCTCCATACCCATTACAGCTTAGCGAGTGTAATGCCTCTGCAGCAATTTTTGCTCCATGAGGTAATCCTGTCTATGTCTACGCCGCCATATTGTCTGTTGCTTCTCTCATTGCTCGAGACAGGTGGGTCTCACCCCAAAGTGATGCACATCATGAGCGCGACTCAGAAATCAAGCGTCGCTTTGAATGACACGCTTTGAATGAAAATAGCTGAAATGGACAATATGGAAGCATACACATTGTTGGATAATCTAATGGTGCAAACATTTATTTTATTTAATAACGGAAAATTTGCATTTGCAACTAGCAATGGGCGATTAGAACACACCGATAACTTCCAAGTTGAGGAAGTAAAACTATCGCCATGTAAAGAAAGGTTAGTTGAAAAATTGCTGCCGAAGCTTTACACTAGCTAAACTAACTAGGCAGGGCAAACCCGATCTAGTGATTTCTAGTATATCATCAAAATAAATCAATTGCAGCACGTTTTTGGACTCATTCAGCAGATTAAGTACAATACCATTGGAAATGAATGTTGAAAGGTCAATTTAAATTCCTAAAACTTAAAGCTGCAATATGTAACCGTTGGTATTTTCTTAAATGTTAAAAATCTCCAATAGGTCGCTAGTGGTCATCCAATGTGATGCAACAGTAACAATAGTGCGCCCCTAGCCTGCCTGAGAACCACTGTATTCACTGGTATTCATTTTCCCCAGTCGAGTCAGACTTTCCCGCCAGATTTTGTGGCGCGCACAATGAGAGACGTGTTTTTTGTTAGTGAGGAGGCGGTGTGATAGCTAGTTAGTTGAGCCCATGCCCAACACTTGGCTAATGGCTAGCGAAGATTGCTAGCTGACAGACATGGCAGACGCGAGGGGCAAACGACCTGACCCAGCAGCAACTACTCCTCAATCTAAGCTAAAGAAACCGAGAAATTTGGAGAGCAGACAGGCAAAAAGGGAAAGCGATAGCCCGGGCCAAGACGAGAGTAAACCTTGGATTTGCGCTCAAACTGTGGAGAAAACGAAGGGAGTTGAAGGGATTCAAAACCGACCCAGAATTAGATTTTCTTTCTGCTGAAAAGGTAAGATATACAGTGCATTCGGAAAGTATTCAGACCCTTTCACTTTTTCCACATGTTGTTACGTTACAGCCTTATTCTAAAATGGATTCAATTGTTGCCCTTCATCAATCTACACACAATACACCATAATGACAAAGCAAAAACAGGTTTAGAAATTTTTGCAAATGTATTAAAAATAAAATAAACTGAAAAATCACGTATTCAGACGCTTTACTCAGTACTTTGTTGAAGCACCTTTGGCAGAGATACAGCCTCGAGTCTTCTTGGGTATGACGCTACAAGCTTGGCACACCTGTATTTGGGGAGTTTCTACCATTCTTCTCTACAGATCCTCTCAAGCTCTGTCAGGTTGGATGGGGAGTGTCGCTGCACAGCTATTTCCAGGTCTCTCCAGAGATGTTCGATTGGGTTCAAGTCCGGGCTCTGGTTGGGCCACTCAAGGACATTCAGAGATTAGTCCCGAAGCCACTCCTGCGTTGTCTTGGCTGTGTGCTTAGTGTCGTTGTCCTGTTGGAAGGTGAACCTTCGCCCCAGTCTAAGGTCTTGAGTGCTCTGGAGCAGGTTTTCATCAAGGATCTCTCTGTACTTTGTTCCGTTCATCGTTCCCTCGATCCTGACTAGTCTCCCAGTCCTTGCTGCTGAAAAATATCCACACAGCATGATGCTGCCACCACCATGCTGTGGTCATTATTGTACTTTTGGAATGGTTTTAGAATGATTTCCTAAACTGTTTTTTTTCCTGGAGATCTATGCTCTTGACGGTTTACACTTCAAATTAGCAGACCTACAGGTGGGTAGATATCCAGGAGGACAGATGGACTACCCTGGTGTAAATACAGTACTAAACAACTCAGTCCGATTACACAGATCAGGTCAAATAGTTTTATAAGGGAGATAAACAAGAATACAAGGTATTCTCTGTAACCTTCATCAGAATAACAAAAGCACAGTATAAGGGAAACATTCTGATAAAGTACTATCACCCAGACCATGGTAAAAGTCACACAAAACGACTTACAAAGATATCCCCAGATCCAAATGAAGAATAAAGTATAGTGTAGTCGTGGAAAGTGTTAACCTGTTATGTAAACATTCTTGGTAATAAATGGAATATTGCAGTAGCGAAATGGCAGCAGTTGTGTGTTGTAAGGTGCAGGTGTCTCCCTGCAATTCATGCAAGTGCACCAGCAAGGTTGTCCAGAGACCCTGGGATAGCTCTCCGGTACTCAATCATGTCAAAAATCACTCCAGGTAGATGGGAAGCAGCCAGCTCCAGCACCTCTTCCCTTTCTTCAAAGGACAGCTCTTGCAAGATGAAATTACAGAATGCAGCCAAATGTTGTGTGATAGGATTATAAATGTTGTCAAACAGGTAAACAGTACCACAGGTGAAAGACTTTTACTAACCTTCCTCTCGGCCAGCCTCTCTTCTTGCAGTCGGGCAGCCTTTCAAGGTCTTCCTGTCCAATTCTTTCTGCAGCCCTGTCTGTGCCCCTGGACGGTCTGTGGCTCTTCAAAACTGGAATCCTACAGAAAAAAACATGTACACTTATTATTATGATTGTATTATAATGTTCACTGGACTCCAGAAAGAGTAGCTGCTGCTTTTGCAATGGCTAACGGGGATCCTAATAAAAATACCAATACTACATGGTCTTTTATGTATAACCAATAAGGATTTTAATGCAGAAGAGTCAAGTATAACACTTCTACAATCCGTACACAACATCTTCATAGCCATAGCGCTTCAGAATCAAGGGGCCACCCCAGTAATGTTATTAGGAGACAGAGAAGGGCAAAGGACTTGCCAAACCCAAGTTAATTTTCCATGAATGCTTTACTATGAGTCAAAGTGTGATTTTTTTACAGTGGGGAAAAAAAGTATTTAGTCAGCTACCAATTGTGCAAGTTCTGTAATTTTCATCATAGGTACACGTCAACTATAACAGACAAAATGAGTTTTTTTTTCTCCAGAAAATCACATTGTAGGATTTTTAATCAATCAATCAATCAATCAATTTTATTTTATATAGCCCTTCTTACATCAGCTAATATCTCGAAGTGCTGTACAGAAACCCAGCCTAAAACCCCAAACAGCTAGTAATGCAGGTGTAGAAGCACGGTGGCTAGGAAAAACTCCCTAGAAAGGCGAAAACCTAGGAAGAAACCTAGAGAGGAACCAGGCTATGAGGGGTGGCCAGTCCTCTTCTGGCTGTGCCGGGTGGAGATTATAACAGAACCATGCCAAGATGTTCAAAAATGTTCATAAGTGACAAGCATGGTCAAATAATAATCAGGAATAAATCTCAGTTGGCTTTTCATAGCCGATCATTAAGAGTTTGAAAACAGCAGGTCTGGGACAGGTAGGGGTTCCATAACCGCAGGCAGAACAGTTTAAACTGGAATAGCAGCAAGGCCAGGCGGACTGGGGACAGCAAGGAGTCACCACGGCCGGTAGTCCCGACGTATGGTCCTAGGGCTCAGGTCTCTCAGTTGGCTTTTCATAGCCGATCATTAAGAGTTGAAAACAGCAGGTCTGGGACAGGTAGGGGTTTCGTAGCCGCAGGCAGAACAGTTGAAACTGGAATAGCAGCAAGGCCAGGCGGACTGGGGACAGCAAGGTGTCATCATGCCCGGTAGTCCTGACGTATGGTCCTAGGGCTCAGGTTCTCAGAGAGAAAGAGAGAACGAGAGAATTAGAGAGAGCATACTTAAATTCACACAGGACACTGGATAAGACAGGAGAAGTACTCCAGGTATAACCAACTAACCCCAGCCCCCCGACACATAAACTACTGCAGCATAAATACTGGAGGCTGAGACAGGAGCGGTCCGGAGACACTGTGGCCCCATCCGAAGAAACCCCCGGACAGGGCCAAACAGGAAGGATATAACCCCACCCACTCCGCCAAAGCACAGCCCCCGCACCACTAGAGGGATATCCCCAACCACCAACTTACAATTTATTTGCAAATTATGGTGGAAAATAAGTATTTGGTCAATAACAAAAGTTTCTCAATACTTTGTTATATACCCTTTGTTGGCTATGACACAGGTCAAACTTTTTCTGTAAGTCTTCACAAGGTTTTCACACACTGTTGCTGGTATTTTGGCCCATTCGTCCATGCAGATCTCCTCTAGAGCAGTGATGTTTTGGGGCTGTCGCTGGGCAACACGGACTTTCAACTCCCTCCAAAGATTTTCTATGGGGTTGAGATCTGGAGACTGGCTAGGCCACTCCAGGACCTTGAAATGCTTCTTACGAAGCCACTCCTTCGTTGCCCGGGCGGTGTGTTTGGGATCATTGTCATGCTGAAAGACCCAGCCACGTTTCATCTTCAATGCCCTTGCTGATGGAAGGAGGTTTTCACTCAAAATCTCACGATACATGGCCCCATTCATTCTTTCCTTTACACGGATCAGTCGTCCTGGTCCCTTTGCAGAAAAACAGCCCCAAAGCATGATGTTTCCACCCCCATGCTTCACAGTAGGTATGGTGTTCTTTGGATGCAACTCAGCATTCTTTGTCCTCCAAACACGATGAGTTGAGTTTTTACCAAAAAGTTCTATTTTGGTTTCATCTGACCATATGACATTCACCCAATCCTCTTCTGGATCATACCAAATGCACTCTAGCAAACTTCAGACGGGCCTGGACATGTACTGGCTTAAGCAGGGGGACACGTCTGGCACTGCAGGATTTGAGTCCCTGGCGGCGTAGTGTGTTACTGATGGTAGGCTTTGTTACTTTGGTCCCAGCTCTCTGCAGGTCATTCACTAGGTCCCCCCGTGTGGTTCTGGGATTTTTGCTCACCGTTGTGATCATTTGACCCCACGGGGTGAGATCTTGCGTAGAGCCCCGGATCGGGGAGATATCAGTGTCTTGTATCTTCCATTCCTAATATGCTCCCACAGTTGATTTCTTCAAACCAAATGTTTCTATGCAGATCAGTCTCCCACTGTCAGGTCTACATTTTGTTTCTGGTGTCCTTGACGCTCTTGTCTTGGCTATGGGGTTGAGTGTGACTGTTTGAGGTGTGGACAGGGTTTAATACTGTACATGTCAAACAGTGCCATTATACAGTACGAGTGGGAGAACCTCCAGCCAGGCCACAAATGTGCATGTGTTCTGCCTCAACTGTCCAGAAACAGAATCCATGAGGGTTGGAGGAGGCCCCCCCCGACGTCCACAGGGTTGGGGGTTTTGGCTTTACAAGCCCACCACCGTTGCAGGACGTTTTGGCATTGGCATTTGCAGAGACACCCAAAGTGGCCAAATTCCGCCACCTGGCGCCCCTGTGCTCTTCACAGATGAAAGCAGGTTCACACTGAGCACATGTGACAGACGTGACAGAGTCTGGAGACGCCATGGAGAACGTTCTGCTGCCTGCAACATCCTCCAGCATGACCGGTTTGTCGGTGGGTCAGTCATGGTGTGGGGTGGCATTTCTTTGGGGGGCCGCACAGCCCTCCATGTGCTCGCCAGAGGTAGCCTGACTGCCATTAGGTACCGAGATGAGATCCTCAGACCCCTTGTGAGACCATATGCTGGTGCGGTTGGCCCTGGGTTCCTCCTAATGCAAGACAATGCTAGACCTCATGTGGCTGGAGTGTGTCAGCAGTTCCTGCAAGAGGAAGGCATTGATGCTATGGACTGGCCCGCCCGTTCCCCAGACCTGAATCCAATTGAGCACATCTGGGACATCATGTCTCGCTCCATCCACCAACGCCACGTTGCACCACAGACTGTCCAGGAGTTGGCGGATGCGTTAGTCCAGGTCTGGGAGGAGATCCCTCAGGAGACCATCCGCCACCTCATCAGGAGCATGCCTAGGCATTGTAGGGAGGTCATACAGGCACGTGGAGGCCATACACACTACTGAGCCTCATTTTGACTTGTTTTAAGGACATTACATCAAAGTTGGATCAGCCTGTAGTGTTGTTTTCCACTTTAATTTTGAGGGTGACTCCAAATCCAGACCTCCATGGGTTGAAACATTTGATTTCCATTGATAATTTTTGTTTGATTTTGTTGTCAGCACATTCAACTATGTAAAGAAAAAAGTATTTCATAAGATTATTTCATTCATTCAGATCTAGGATGTGTTATTTTAGTGTTCCCTTAATTTTTTTGAGCAGTGTATCTTAATTTAGGATGATAATAAATGAAGCAAACTCAGATTTTTTCAATAATCACATTCCTCACTAGTTTAACCATTTGTGACTCGTTTCTGGTAACTAGGCGTATGTCGCGGGTCACTACTTCACAGGAGAGCCATTTGAACGTAAACTTGTTTTTTTTAATCAAAATGCGTTTTTTTTTGGCAGAAATGCCTTCTGGAACACGTGAACTCTCATGTGCCTTAATAACAAACTTGTATGCCATCTGTAAATACTAATACAATTGTTAAATTACAAGCCTAGTTGGTTAAGCCACAGAAAAAGACAGCAACCTTCCCACTAGCCATGATTGGCTGAGATAATGAGTGGGCTGGAATTGCCGAGAGAGGAGTTTGGATTGGTCTGCCAAATAGCACGCTTCTGTCTATTTGAGCTGGTCAGTATGTGTAGGTAATCCTGTCTAACGCAGCTTTCTTTTAAATGTATCGTGTAGTGGAGCGGCATAAGTGTTGCTCTCCACTTTCTGGAGGATCGAGTTTTGAAATCAGTGGAATTAGAGTATGATAGCTAAAGAGATGGAGAAAACACCTGTCTCCGGATTACATCTTCAAACTAAGGGTAACCGTGGCATCCGTGACAGGGTGACGTATCCATCCATGATGTATGCGGGTAAGATAGTCCAGCTAGCTACATTGACCCGCAACATACGCCTAGTTTCCTGAAACGAGTCACAAAGAAATCTGTGATTATTGAAAATAAATCTGTGAGTATGCTTCATTTACCATTGTTAAAAAGAGAAATGCTATTGCAACCTCTTTGCAATAAGGAATTGAGACCAAAAGCTCGAGAAGTTTCAAGTGTTTATTACCAAGGATGCCGTCAGCTGAGTGCATACATTTAGAAAGTTCACAACACATCTTATACTCTTCCCTCCTTTTGGTCACCACCCTCTTGTAGGTGTCACCTCCCGAGCTAAACATTTTATGACTCCAATGAGTTTCCCTTATCTCCCTTGTGGAATGTCCATGGTCCTCTCTTTGGTTAGCTAGATGTCTGAATCACACCCCGTCCATCTTCATTGTCCTGGGCCTGACCCTGCTCCCTGATCCGAGGCAATTTCGTCTTATCTGATTAGGTAAACCTTTCCAAATTAGCATACACACAGTTTCATGGCCTAAACTCCATTAATACTCACAGTAATCATTCACTAAACAGAATACAAACACTAAACAATCATTTCACCTGCCTGCTGTAGACTTCCTTCTTCTTTGGTTTTCTCCAGACCTGAGAGTGTAATAGAAACAGACTTGATAGATAGAGAAAATCGAAAATACTAGAAAAAATAATAAAACGCTCATGAGTTAAAACAATCCTAAATTCTATTGATTATCATAAGCTTCTATGTAGATACATTTATAAAGTAAATCTCTGAACACAGCTTGAGGAACCCGACTGACACAATCTCCTGCTACCCCTGGACACTATGCCCACTGACATGCTCTTCTGCTAAGGTCCACAAGAAGTAGGGCTCTAAATATCCCCATAATGCTTTTCCCCAGTCTTCCATCAAGGGCTACAGGATCACAAGAGATGTTTTTCAGCCAAGCCCTCCTCACTGCGTTCACCTCCTAACGCTACCCTAAAGACACGAGCCGTAGCCTGAATCAATTTCACCTCCTCATGTGGCAAATCCGCACTATAGATGCATTTCAACAACAAAGATTTTACTATATGGAATCCTAACAATGCCACCAGAGCTACCCCCGTAACTGCCAACACTGCCCATGCTGCCTACTCCAAAATCCACCTTATTTGATCAATAGTCCAATACCATGCTGTTCCTACAGCACCTCCCACAACCTTAAAAGTCTCTTTTGTTATTACCCCCAATGTAACAGCAGTAATTATTGCTCCCGTTTTAACTCTGTCACTCTCAGTGACTTACATCACCGGCTTTACCGTTAGATCTATGATTGAGTTTGTAACATATTCTCTACCTTTTTCCCAGTCCTCTCCTAACGTTTTCCTGACCAGCTTATCTATTGCCTCCTTCTGTTGTGCTACAGTAGGGACTGGCGGGTAATAATTACCATTACTCAGATCTGGATCACATCTCCCATCCCACGGCATACCCATCCCCCACCCCCCTGTGAAAACCCTATATGTGACATAGGTTTTAGGGACTAAAGGTTGTTTTTCCGCAATCCCTCAACAAATTCCTGTTACCGTGGCTTGGTCCCAGGTCTCTGGGAGGTAGGTCAATTGATTATCTGCCCTTTGATATGGAGGAGAGAGCAGTGGGGTTGAGAGAGTGTTCAGTTCAACATATCTCTGGGTCACATGCTTCCTGATCGTCCCCTTCAACAGATGGGCTGCCACCACTACTGCAAGCTTTTTCTCTGGGAATACAGCTTCTTGTATATATGGGTCTGTGGCAACCCTCTCAATTGTTGTTCCCTCATCAGTAAAACCTTCTCCATATGTGGCTATTAAAGTCTGAAATGATAAGACTTTTCAGCGACGGTTACGATCGCCCTCCTAGAGTCCTCCATGTTGAGCTTATCCTCATAGTAGTCCTTCCACTCTGCATAGACCACTGTCTTTCCCACACTGCGCACTATTCCCTGTATAACTCTACATTTGACATTTTAGTCATTATCCAGAGCGACTTACAGTTAGTGAGTGCATACTTTTTTTTTCATACTGGCCCCCCGTGGGAATCAAACCCACAACCCTGGCGTTGCAAGCGCCATGCTCTACCAACTGAGCTACACGGGGCCCATACACAGTGGAGTGGTATCATTCTCTAATGAGTCTATCACCCATTTCTTAATTTATAGGCGAGGCATCCCTCCACCTTTGTCACATTTATTCCTATATTTCCTGTCCCAGTAAAGACTATGGCCTTGGTTTTCGGGATACCCTGGAGAGGACTTACATGTGTCACCCCCAAATCCGACACCAATACTCCATAGGAATGTCCTGTACTTCCCCCACTCTGCCACAGACATTGGTGTATATTTGTCTCATGAACTAAAGTAGGGCCTAACCGAGCCTGTAAATAAGCCTTAATCTGCTCATATCCCTCGCTTTCCCCATGCCGTTTAACGACAAGGACAATTTGGTCATTATACTCTTGTCGCATAATATTGTCCAGGGTCTGATTTCCCCAACAAGCTATTTCTCCTCAGGTCCTCGGTCTCTCACTATCTAAAATCTTCCCAGACCATTTCATTCCTATTGGTGTTGGGTAATACGGAGTGACAGGTAAGTAAAACCTCTTGCTCCAATATAATCCCCTCTCCTTCGTGTCTGTAGCTTCACCTGGCTTGACGTCTGGTGTCGTAGAACTCTCAGAAGATTTGTCCTCCGCCCACACTAACTTGAAGGTTAGTAACTGCTGTTCTTTTAACTGGAGTCTATCGCACACAATGCCAAGTTGAGAGAGGGACGAGAATCTGGTTTAATTCCTCAAACTATCTGTTTGTCACGATCGTCAGGGAGAGACCAATGCGCAGCGTGTTGAACGAACATGTTTAAACTTTATTATCTTTAGTGATAATAGACAACAATAACCAAAACAAGAAACGACTCGTAACGTCCTCGGTAACAATGACCAACACGGAACAAGAACCCACAAACACAAAGGGAAAACAGACAGTTTAAATATGGCTCCCAATCAGAGACAACCAACGACAGCTGACACTCGTTGCCTCTGATTGGGAGTCACTCTGGCCAACCTAGAAATAAACACAACAGAACTACCAACATAGAAATAATCACATAGAATGAACACACCCTGGCTCAACATATAGAGTCCCAGAGCCAGGGTGTGACAGTACCCCCCCCCTAAAGGCGCGGACTGCGACCGCGCCTCAACTTGAACAAAACAGGGGAGGGCTGGGTGGGCATACCTCCTCGGCGGCGGTTCTGGCTCCGGCCTTGCCCACCACCCTCCAATAAACCCCCCAGAGCGCCCCTGGTCCAGTCTGGCCCCGCTGGCTGGAGCTGAACTGGACTTAGCAGGAGCGGTTAGCTTCAGCTCCGTAGTGGAGCAGTTGACCGGTACCTTACCAGGCACCGGTGACCCAGGCACGGGTTGTGCTGGACTGACGACGCGCACCCCTGGCTTGGTGCGTGGAGGAGGAACGGGCCTTACCAGGCTGACGACTCGCACCCCTGGCTTGGTGCGTGGAGGAGGAACGGGCCTTACCAGGCTGACGACGCACACCGTAGGCTTGGTGCGTGGAGCAGGGACAGGCCGGGCTGGGCTGGCGACGCACCCCGTAGGCTTGGTGCGTGGAGCAGGGACAGGCCGGGCTGGGCTGGCGACGCACACCGTAGGCTTGGTGAGTGGAGCAGGGACAGGCCGGACCGGGCTGGCGACGCACACCGTAGGCTTGGTGCGTGGAGCAGGGACAGGCCGGACCGGGCTGGCGACGCACACCGTAGGCTTGGTGCGTAGAGCAGGGACAGGCCGGACTGGGCTGGCGACGCACACCGTAGGCTTGGTGCGTGGAGCAGGGACAGGCCGGACTGGGCTGGCGACGCACACCGTAGGCTTGGTGCGTGGAGCAGGGACAGGCCGGACTGGGCTGGCGACGCACACCGTAGGCTTGGTGCGTGGAGCAGGGACAGGCCGGACTGGGCTGGCGACGCACACCGTAGGCTTGGTGCGTGGAGCAGGGACAGGCCGGACTGGGCTGGCGACGCACACCGTAGGCTTGGTGCGTGGAGCAGGGACAGGCCGGACTGGGCTGGCGACGCACACCGTAGGCTTGGTGCGTGGAGCAGGGACAGGCCGGACTGGGCTGGCGACGCACACCGCAGGCTTGGTGCGAGGAGCAGGGACAGGCCGGACCGGGCTGGCGACGCGCACCGTACACTTGGTGCGAGGGGCCGGAACAGGCCGGACCGTACTGGGGACACACACCACTGGCTCTACCTCGGGATCTGGAACGGGCCGGACCGGACTGGTAACACACCCCAGTACCTCTCGCCGTGCCTCTACACCTTCCTTCCCTGCTTTGACCAGTGGCCCCCGTAACCTGGTGGCCTTCTGAATCCGCCCCTTTTCTGCCTCCGTCAGCCCCGTCGTCCATGCCGTGTGCCCCCCCCTAAAAATTTCTTGGGGTTGCCTCTCGCCTGTCCGACGTTGACCCGTTTGGCGCCGCTGCTCCTCTCTCCGTCGCCTCTCTACAGTCTCACTCCATGGCCGGCGATCCATCCCGGCCAGGATTTCCTCCCAGGTCCAGGACCCTTTCCCGTCCAATATCTCCTCCCATGTCCAGGATGCCTGCTCCTGGACACGCTGCTTGGTCCTGGTATGGTGGGTTCTTCTGTCACGATCGTCAGGGAGAGACCAATGCGCAGCGTGTTGAACGAACATGTTTAAACTTTATTATCTTTAGTGATAATAGACAACAATAACCAAAACAAGAAACGACTCGTAACGTCCTCGGTAACAATGACCAACACGGAACAAGAACCCACAAACACAAAGGGAAAACAGACAGTTTAAATATGGCTCCCAATCAGAGACAACCAACGACAGCTGACACTCGTTGCCTCTGATTGGGAGTCACTCTGGCCAACCTAGAAATAAACACAACAGAACTACCAACATAGAAATAATCACATAGAATGAACACACCCTGG